GTCAAGTCGCAATAGATGCACTTTTGGAAGCAACAAGCTCACATATGTAAGATTCAGCCCAAAATCGAGTAAAATTCATGATTTAACCCCGCTTTCCAAGGTTTGACGGCTATGGACCAGCTGTGGGTGCTTTGGCTGCACGTGAAGCTGTTGCCACCAAATATACACATCCACAAGCTCCAATTACCGCCGATGACGTCATTCTGGCCAGTGGATGTTCGCACGCTTTGCAAATGGCCATAGAAGGTTTGGCAAATCCTGGGGACAACATCCTAATCCCACAGCCAGGATTTCCACTCTATTCGACGTTGTGCAGACCGCATGGCATTGAGGTGAATAGAATTTTAGGCTAATTTTACGAAAAAAAAATTTACAAAATTATTTCGAACACCACAGGAGAAAATCATTAAAAAAGGGCCGTACAAGGTTATGCTCACTAATGAAGTGAAAAGTAGTGTTGCAGGCATTCCATTCAGAACCCACAATGTTATAGTAATCGTTTGAAAAACTCTGCGCCAAAATCTTGTGAAAAATCCCACAAGGTTATTCCACTAAAAACGAAAACTAGCGTTTGCAGGCATTCCAGCCGGGACCCATAGCGAAAAATTGAGTTGGTTTATTGCAGAAAGCTTGTCATATCAATAGGTTATAGAGGCAAATACCTCCTCTTCACTCTTAGAAAAAATTTTGTCTTTTATAGGATCGCGCTTACAAAGTCGACATGGCGAATGGCGGACAAATCGACCTCGAATATCTCGAAACACTGATCGACGACCGTACCCAAGCGCTAATCGTGAACAATCCTGGAAATCCAACCGGAGTTGTATTCAGCAAAGAACATCTACAGGATATCTTAGCTGTAAGTATCCGTTCTCTATTAAACGTCGACGTTACGCTCCGGCCTTTTAGTGCTTGCTGGGGAGGGGGTGGGAGAACGTAGACATTGTGATGATGGTGGGGTGATTGAAAAAGACTGGTTCTCTTTCTGCTTGCAGTTCGCCAGTCGTCATCGTCTTGTGATCATTGCGGACGAGATCTATGGAGATCTAACGTATGACGGAGCTGTGTTCCATCCGATTGCCACACTTTCGCCCAAGGTTCGCTTCGTTTCTTTCCCGATATAGTCTAGTTATCCAAGCAAAGTGAAAAGTTGACAGCGCTGATTTTTAGGTTCCGATAATAACCTGCGACGGACTGGCGAAGCGATGGATGGTGCCAGGATGGCGCCTGGGTTGGCTGATTGTGCACGATCGCTTCCGGGTGCTCAGCGAAGTTCGCAAGGGACTTGTGGCCCTTTCGCAGAAGATCGTTGGTCCCTGTTCGCTCATCCAGGGCGCTCTGCCGAAGATCCTTCGCGACACCCCGGAGGAGTATTTCGAGCACAATCGACGGGTCATTTCGCGAAATGCGGGGGTGATGAACAAAACTCTCAAGGGGATCAAAGGGGTGCATTGCCTTCGACCCCATGGCGCTATGTACATGATGATTAGTCTGGACAAATCGCTCTATGGGGATGATATACAGTTTTCGTGCAATCTTATTCAGGTTCGTTGCCTTTGATTTCCCTCAAATTCCCAATCTGAGTTTGCTCATTTCTAGGAAGAATCAGTCTACTGCCTTCCCGGATCGGCCTTCTCCTCACCCGGCTGGATCCGGCTGGTCCTTACCCAAAGTGAAAAAATCAGCGAAGAAGCCGCTTTACGAATCCGCTCGTTTTGTGAACGCCACCTGAACGAAGCCGACCTGGCCGATGTTGGCGAATCATCCGACGAAGGATGTGATATCTCAAACTGCGAACCTTTCTAGAAGAGATTTTG